GATACAAACTTTTGTACATCTATATTCGTATTTTTTTTTTATTCCATCCGAAAAGAATCATTAAACTGGCTTCTACTGAAGGGAGTATAGAAGGAGAAAGAATTCTGTAAAATTTTATTGTGTGTCTGTAACACTTTACGTTATTTTATTTTCACAAATAAAACTTTATATACTTATTTCATCATTTTTTGTTCGTAACAATTCCTCATCAAACTCTCTGTTGCGTAGAAAAGTCTTTACTTACATGGAGGCTACATGACGTCATTATACACCGTCACAAATGCATGCTTAACTCTGCTGCCATTGTGAGCCGGTATTGTTTAGATCTTGCTATCAAGTTCTGATAAGCGACAGTTACAATACGTGGCATTTACTTTGTGTTAGTGTATGGATCCTATTCTTGAATGACTGACTTCCCAGACTTCAGCTGTATTCATTTTCATAAAGAAACAGAATTGCGCGCTAATAATCTTACTGCAAACACGATACAGACATAATTCCAACGGCTGCGTCACACAAACCTAGGCTTCGAGTATAATATAGTTGCGATATGCGTCAAGCAACAAAGGCACTGAGATGTCTATTGCTCGAAAACCTTATTTCTGTTGTCCAGATTCGTAATTCTGCAAGTCTCTGAGATAGAGAATTGTGTAAATATAGCGTTATGCTCTTGACATGAAGTGACACACTGACATGACATCCACTCGCAACTTAATGCACTACTTCACAATAATAATCTGTTTTTAAGATATGTACATTTCTTTGTGAGGTAAAGACTTTCAGGAGGACAGATTTTATACCTTCAGACTTAGTAACAACAACGTTTCGTGAACCCATATTTTGCGGTATTTATGTCATACAATGAGACCTATTGTGAGGTGTCATATCCTTAACAAGTAGAACTTATTGAAAACTTCATAAATTGACGTGGTGTATATGAGGGTTCCGGTAGAGTAGGCCTAACAATATTACTAATTCTATATGTGTAAATTTCCGTTTACACTGATATGTTACTTACGTCTCCGCTAAGCGGCCTCCGTAGTCTAGAGGTGACGTTCCCACCTCATGACTCGTAGTACGCGGGTTCAAATACCCGGCGGAGGTCGTCGAATTTTTAAGGGCGGAAAAATTCAGGGAACAAGTCCTCCGGGAGGGACTTTAAGCTGTGTGTCCCGTGTCGTAACTTTACGGCACTTAAAAGAACCTCATATCCCCAAAAGGGATCACTGAGCAAAATTCCAGGACTTTTCCCGCCCAACAATAGCCTCTAAGGTCTCTGATAGATGGGGGAAGCATTATAGACACCGCTAAGCAAGTGGCCGAACTCGCTTGCTCGGCGGGACTGATGGTACGCACCATTTATCGGTAGGGTATAGAGACTGGTAGAATATCAGAGGGAAGCACAATGGACTAATACTGGTCTAAGTGCATGGGGAAACCCACCCTCTCCAATAACTAACTACGACGTAAGTAAAGTGCATTTCCTGGACGTAATGTTGTAATGATTTTTTTTTACGGAAAGTATAACAGTGCGTACGTGAAGTGACCGCCAACGGCATACTGTTTATATCAATATTCAAGAATTGAATTGAAGTATTATTATTTTCCTAGGTGCTCTTCAGCTGCTAATATTACTTGTAAGGACATCGATCTATTTGGAACCAAAACCGTTCCTCTTCATCACATAATTTATGATGGTAAAATTTTCATTATACAAACAATCTCCCCAAGCTAACTATATCGACCGAGTGATCACTGCTTGTCGGCGAAGTTAGTGCCAAATTTAGCGGATAGAGGGTGTCGCCTGGTCAGCGCAACGAATTCCCACGGCCGTTAATTTCGGTTTTGTAGACCGGAGCCACCATTTCCTTGAAAGAGCTCCTCAGTTATCCTCACGAGGCTGAGTGGACCCCGTTCTAGACCCGCTACTATTAAGAAAATCTGGTACCGCCTGGAATCCAACTCGGACCTCTGGATCTGTAGCCAGGAACTCTAACCACTAGATCATAGAGAGGTCGAATGTTCTTATTGTTAGAATATTAACTATATACAAAATGAATGTATTGGCGGGACTAAATTACCTGAATTATTATTATCATTGTCTAAATTATACAAATTACCTTGCATTGTCTTCTGTTTTTTTATGTGTTCGTTTCCCTTCTTTCTTTTGCTTCAGCTTACTAAATAATTGGCCTTTAGGCTCTTACATAAGCATGTATATAAGCAAGAAATTCAGTTAAATATTGTATGATATCTATGGGCCCTGGGGTTTAGTCAGCCTCTAACAGAAATTAATACCAGGAATTAATTAAATAATTTTCCTTGGCAGTAAAGCGCGGCCGGCGCGTAGGGCTGACAACCTTACCGCCATCTATGAGCCGATTGTCTACAATGGGGGACCCTCAACGTCTCACAACCCTATGGGTCTTCACGGCCTGGTTCGGGGATAGTTTTACTTTTCTTACTTTTTATATATGTAGATTCTAAATGGTTCTGACGATGGTGGATGACACAGAATCACTAGGTTCTTGGACTTTTTCCATCGTCCGGAATTCTAGGTAATGGAGGACACGACGTTTCGAAAACTGGATCTGTTTGAGTCTTCAGGTGTTAAAGGAACACACCTACTCAGTTAGGCCCCTTGAGAAAGAGCTAATCTCAATCACTGGTGTAGGTGTCTTCCTTTCTCACCTGAAGACGGAAACAGATCCAGTTTCCGAAACGTCGTGTCATCTATTACCTAGAATTCCCGACGACGGAAAAATTCCAAAACCCAGTAATTCTGTATGATATATATGTACTTATATCATGGTCCCTAACTTCGAAACACTCCATGCTTCTTACATAAACCGTTAGGTACAAATGAACATCAGCTGCTTCTTTGAAGTTTAGAAGTTGAATATTTTATTTGCACATTACCAATGTTTTCGTTACTGATACATACGCATGTGGGTGTGCATAGAAGGAAGGAACAATGAACATGCCTGAAGTTGGAAGTCTCGAGTTCCAATCTTAAAAACAGGCTTAAATTATTAACGGAATCCGACCCTCATTTGTCACTGAACACTGCCAGCATCTGCATTCAGCATAAACTGTTCAGGAAAGCACTTGATAGCTGCCACCAATCAACACACGCGAAGTGCACAGTCACTAACAAGAGGGAAGAAAGGCCTCGTGATTGATCGTAAATGCGAACCACCCCAGAGGGAAGCTTTTAAGGCATCTTAATCTCCTGCACTTGGCTTCACGTCACGTTTAGGGGTTTCTCCAAAACCAAAACAGCAACGAATTATGGGAATAGAAGGCGGGGTCACTTGAGCGAGGGGACATGAAAACACCCCCAACCCATGATGCTCCCTTCTGTTGAGTGTCACTTTCAGAAAATTGGTTTCCATCATTCATTCTTCCCCCGTTCCGCCTTTAAATCCAAGAAAAATCCTCTCCTCCCAAAGACCTTATAATTCCAGATTTATAGGGTGACAAGTGACAGACACAGAATTAATGTTGCGGACAGATTTTAACTTAGACGCACGCGTTAAGAAAATTCTGTTATGGAGGAGACTTCTTCTAATTTTTAAGGGTATATCTGAGAGATGAGGTCAGTTTTCTGGATCTCTTTCCGTGACGAAGAATATAATAACTTCCTTCACAAAAATGTACTTAAATAACACGGCGTGATAAATCCCCTGGCTGATTTCTTCAGTCGAATATATCAAGCACAACATACTACTGGGAGCGATGCTTACATACAGCAGTGCAGACAATAAAGTTATTTACCGAAGAATCTTTAACACATGGAAGGAATACATAATATATAACGTGACATGTGTAATAATATACATTAAAGAAATATGATTTTCAAAGAACAAACTTCAGTGTCTTTATGAGATCATATGCCATCAGAGTAGGAAGGAAATGTATGATTTTGGAAGGACAACACTAAACTGCATCTTATGAAATGATGGGACATTGATGATTGATGTGTTAAACTATCGCGTCTAATACCCATGATGAACTATATTTTAATAGGGGTTTATAATGCCAAATGCAAAAATGTGGAGTTGTGTTTTAATCACGAAAAAGGGACCTGCGAGTACGGTAAACCTCTCACTGGCTCTAGCTGGTTTTTGCGGCAACTGAGCAAAATATGCTAACTGCTTTTCCTTCGCAACTAACAAACAGTGTGTACAATAGTAGCAGTTGTTTCTCAGAACGGCAAGATTATGATACTGGACCGCCCGAACACCGAAATCACAAGTTCAAATTCCATTCTTTTCATGCATGTATGGCCGCCAATTTTTCTTGTTTTTCTGTGTAAGTACAGGCCGCTCCATTGCCGATCTCCTGTTCAAAGTGTCTTGCAGAATGTTTAATGTTTGATATTTGGGGATTAATTCAGATTCAGAGGCTAGTGATGGCATGGAAACTAACGAAGAATAAGAGAGTAAATAATATCCTATTTGAAACATTTTGTCATATATAGGATACAAACAAAACAACAAATAAATTTTTAAATATTATTTCACACTAATTTTATTTAAAAGATTTTATAATGTTTCTAGTATCGGAGTACGAGTATGAAACATACACATAAACACTTCATTATATACACAGTGGAGAGAAGGAAGGTCTGATTTACTCTATATTATTATTAATTGAATTATTATTATTATTATGCCTCTGCAGCCTTTTGTTGGGCTTTAGCCGCTTTTTTTTCAGTTTCTTGATCATATAAACAGTCGATAGAACTCTTTTGACGGGGAATCAGCTAGTCGCAAGGCCGCTACCTACACACAGAATAACACAAACACAGAATAAGCGCACACAGACATCAATGTCTTGAGTGGGTTTCGAACCTACGATCCCAGTGTTCGATTGGGCGAAGACGGTTCATGCCTTAAACCGAGCGACCACTGTGATCAGTTTCGACTATAACTGGTGAAACTGATGTCCAGCAGTCCAGAATACACAGTTAAAGATCTACTGGTTTGATTGTTTACCTGTTAGAGAGCTGGAAGTGAATGTTTCTGTCCACGGCGCCGAACACTTTGAGGCATTACATGGAACTCGTAATGGATATGCTGCAGCCTGTAAACAGAAGAGGACATACGGAACATCAGATAGTAGGATACCAGAATTTAATTTGTTTTGTAGAAAATTCGTAAATGTAAATCAATGGCGTCTATTGTAAGAAGTTCCCGTGTTTCAAAAACCACGTATTCTAAAATAATAAAATTTACTAGATTCACAATTCATACAGGGCCAAAAAGAGCAACCTGTCAGAGCAGAGCGAAGGATGAATATAGTGCTAATCGTAATTGCGACAGGATGTACTTTTTCAAGCATCCGAAATTGCGTCTAATCAAGTTTTGCCCCTATGTCATTTAGTGATGTTACGCTAAAATTTAGGCCGCGCCATAACTCAAGGGGTTAGTCAATGGCTTCCCACCGCGGCGGCCCGGGTTCGATCCTGGGTCTGGTCCAGTGGGATTTGTGGTGGACAAAGTAGAGATGGGGCAAATTTTCTCCGAGTACTTCGGTTTCCCTTGCCAATATTCATTCCACCAATTGCTCCACAATCACCCCCACCTATCATTTGGGGTGGGTACAATAGGGCAGAAGTGGCAACAGTACAAGGGACTTAGTCTCATCCCATTAGCAATAAAAGAAATAAGCTAAAATTTGAGGTAATATAGAATGTCATAAAAAGGAAAAATCTTTTTTAAAATGTGAGTTAAGAGAAATGTTATCCATTTCTTCCAGGAAGAATCACAAAAATCTCACTTCGGAAAGCTGACGTTGCAACGTAAGTTCAACCAACTTACTTAGGAACAGACTCTCGGGTAACGTATTCCTGTTGAACTTTCCAGACTTCTGAATTCCATGCTGAGAAAGTCACTCCACTGGTAAGGTTATAGAAAAATTGCCCCTGTGTTTAATTAATTAATTAATCACAATTCCGTAAAGATGCATCGGAACTGGAGATATAGCTCCAACATTTTTAACCACTGTGTTAAATAGAGGCGAGTGGACAGCTTCATTCACCTGCCGCTTTAATCCTCAGAAAACATACCCTAGTACCTATTATACAGCAGATTCAAAGTCTCAATGACGCTATGGAAAAGTGAGAAATTGCTAGTCGCTGTCGGGAATCGAACGACGATTCTTTGGTCGTCCGACCCGTAGCTTAGTCGCTGTATCACTGAACTAGTTCATAAGATAAGAGAGGCTCTATATCACTTAAAATTGTCAAAGTGATTATTCATATATGTTCAAAAGATCACTTAAAATAGCAGAATGATGCAACTTCAGGCTGTGGATGGAGATGGCCTGCAGACCTGAAAAGTACAGAATGAGCAGTCCCGACTGAATGTCAGTCTGTGATTTTAAGGTTTAGGCCTGAACTTGAGGCTTTCAATCTCTCGCCGTTAAGATCGCAAATAATACACATTATTATTAACACTCACGGAGGGTTCAAACGTCGAGATATTCTTTGACAAGGTCTACAGGAATGGATGAAACTGGCTCAGGGCAGGATCCTGTACTGGGCTTATATGGAGAGGCAGTGAACCTTCCCTTTCCGGAAGAAGTTCTGATAGTTCTGTAATTAACAACTTGTCAAGGAATGCTTTGTAGCAATAGAGAGTTAGTTAAGTTGTCACATAGACGGATGTAACACTTATTTCTGCACCAATGACGTAGTACAACTAGATTCTACGGAATCTTCTTTGATATTCTTCAGGAACATCTAAAGAACTGCGCTAAAGAACTCGTCCTTAGAGCCTAAGCCTGTGAACCTGAATGGCGCAGTCGGTATAGCGACTGGCTACAGGTTGGACGACTGAGGGTTCAGAGTTCGAGTACCAATAATTAAAGTAAAGCTATCCCTGTAATAGGCCGTGGAGGCCCATTGGTTTAAGAGACGTTGAGGCTCCCACAGTTTTTAGACAATCGGCTCACAGACGGCGGTGAGGTTGTCAGCCTTAGGCGCCGGCAGCCTTTTACCTCCAGGAATATTCCTGGTACTCATTTCTGTTAGAGACTGAGTTGACCCCAGTACCATAGTGCGGCTTGAAGGATTAGGTAAATTAAAAAAATCCACCTCATCGGGATCCGATCCCTAGTCCCAGTACAGGCAAGAATTTTCTTCTCTCCACGTCGTTCATACCGGCTCTGGAGCTCCTTATACAATGGGTAACGGTGGCTCTTTCCCCGGGAGCAAAGCTGCCGGAGTGTGAATCTGACCACTCGCCTCCAGCTAGTGCCGAGGTCAAGAAAACGTAGATCTATACATCTACTTCCTCATACTTCTTCATGATTTAGTGCTTAATTAGATAAGCACTGGGACAACTTTCCTTTTTTACCGACATTCTAAGGCTAGAATATATAAAGATAAACACTAGTAGTGTATTTTGTAAAAGCGTTAAATGTGTTTCGCATTTCGTAGCTGTTAACAGTATGGAAACTCGTTTAGTTCATAGGGTTGCCTCACATATCATTAGTATCGCAAAGCATGCCACTGCAGCTCACCTGCACGGTATCCCTTTGTTCCGCCTCTCTCTTTTTCACTACAGACGGCCTTGATCACTCAGAATTTATCTCCCACGTGACCTTACAAACGATGTCTTCCCTTTGATAGTCTGCCACAGGTACACCATACTGTGGCGCGAAGTGGAGACTTACTCTCTCACCACTGAGAGGAACTATTAAACGATTTATTACCTCCAAGATGGCACCATAAACACTGATTATATCCACGTTAGCAAAGCAATAACACAACCACTCACTATATATAATGGTCAAACATTTTTAGCGAGAAGGAGGGACGTCTACAATACGAGGAGAAAAGAGAAAGAGTTGTTCGAGAATTGTGTCACTTTTATGTTGTTATTTTGATGCTGATAAATAACCAATTACGATAATTTTAAGGACCCTATTTAAGAGTAATTTAAAATTTTTACTTCTTTTCTCTCCTTTGAAAGCCTGGAAGTCACTTCTCTTACAAACAGCTGTTAGAGGTTGAGGTTTTGTAGGCCTACGAAAGACAGTATGTCTATTAACTCTATCTTGTGGACTATATGAGCAAACGATAAACTTAATAGAAATGCTTACAAATTTAAAGCGTAGGTGTTTAATGTCATACTGTTCTAGCTTTTGATTTACGGATTTATAAATGCTCTGAGACACCCTGGCTCTTTGTGAACGGACAAGAATTCTTGTCCAACCAATGTCATTAGGAGCCATGTAATTCGTATTTTTACACAAAAAATGTAATTTGTGTAAAATTAGACACATATAAGTATAATTCTTATAAATGTTTACTGTTTTAATCATAATACTGAGTTGGATTCCAGGTTCTCACAGAGGTGATTATGAAGAGTTCTGTCTTCTGGGATGTAACGCCGTGTAGTCTGGTGAAAATCAACTGACGTTTCGGTGGAAAATATCACCTTCATCTTAAAGGTCGAAGAGAAAGCAAAGAAAAAACCATGACGCAAGCAAAAATAAAGCCAGGTTCTGTTTTGTGTGTTCTTACTTTACTTACACTTAACCCTGAAGAGAGAAGCGATATGTTATTCTGAAACAACCGTTGATTTTCACCGGACTGTTAGCTGTTATGTCCCAGAAGACAAAATTTTTGTACGTGAACGTATTATGAAGTGCATTAATGAATTTCGAGAAACCCACGCTCATAGTCCGTACAATTTATTTATTTATCTGTTTGTTTAATGACGCTGTTACCAGATCAAAATATAGCCCGTAGCATTGAATGCTAGGATGATTATATAACTCGAACGGTTGTGGGACGAAGTGATTTTGGCCTAATTTGAGGTCGAAATTATTATCTCCTCATTTGTCTAGAGGGACAGACTAAAATCAGGAAAAGCGTCAGTGAAAATGGTTGGACTCTGCTCCCAAATTTAAAACTTGGACCTCCAGAATATGACTGCAACTTTCTGACTCACGAATCATAGAGTTACAGCCAGAAGGCGAGGTTATTTTTATGTCTCATGCCCTAGTGTTTAGAGAACCGCTCGAATTGCAGTGGTTTACCCGTTAAAGATGGTACCCAAAAGCAATAGTGTCTTTGTACTTGGACTTTCGTGCACTTCGTAGGCAGCAATGTGAATTGTGAACGTATGATATCTATTTAGCGTATCTGCACTGTTTGGCAACGTAAAATAAATTATCTACTTATCTCATTCGAGAGTCTTGTTGTGCGACCGATGTTAGCTCTTAGAAGTGACAGCCTTCTTTTCAAACCTGATTTCTTTTTCCAGCGGATTTCCCTACTAAAATTCTGAAAATATTTTATTTCTTCATCAATTCTATACTTCTGTCCCGTCGTAATATTCTTTATTTAAATAACTTTACAATTCCATATAATATTCAAAATTTTTAAGTGCCTTCATAAGCAATGTCCGTAATATCCCCATGACCTCATTCACCTTCGACAAATTTTTCCTGAAACACTTCAAATTTATCAAATTCGCAATAAAAAGGGAGACAGACGTTATGTCAATCCAAGGCCGTGCCATAGCTCAAGCGGTTAGTCGCTGGCTTCCCACCGCTACGGCCCGGTTTCGATCCCGGGTCTGATGAAGTGGGATTTGTGGTGGACAAAGTGGCCCTGGGGCGGGTTTTCTCCGAGTACTTCGGTTTCCCCTGCAAATCTTCATTCCATTAAATTCTCCATCATCATAATCACCCGGGGCAGGCTACAATAGGCCAATTAGCGGCCGCCGTGTCGATTGGACCTAGTTGGACCCCCCCCCCCCCACAAGCGAATTTTATATCACTCCGAAGAGTTTGAACAGCAGACGAGTTAACAGTTACTGAACTAACAACAGCTAGCACACACTTCATATGGATTTGTTATTCTTTGTTACTGTAGTTCCCTGGTCTTGAATATAATGAGGTTGTTTCAATCCCATTAATATATACAGACATAATTTGTTCCAGATTGATTTAGTGACCTTCAGATACACATATAGGCTGCGTATGCCTACATTCATCCTTACACAGTACCTATTTCTGAATTAATATTTAGCATGTGAATTAATTTCTAAATGCATACAAAATTTCGG